TCCTTGACGAATTTTAGATGAGAAAACGTTATTTTTATATTTTACGTTCAAATTTTTAAGTTATTTTATTGTATTTCCCCTCGTTCGAAATATACGTAGTCAATTTCAAAATTATGAGACATGCTACTAAAAATGGGATAAAGCCAGACTATCAAAATCAATCTTCTTGAAATTGTATATTTTTAAGGTTTTTTGGGCATTTATGTGAAAAATCTGACTTAATAACTCTAGAACGTTGTTTTTTTTCTGGAATTTTTTACAGAATTGGATTTCTCGATTTATTTTGCGTAAGAAAAGTCATTCATCACATTTTTTCTAAAGCATTTCCTTCAAAAAACATATTCAAAAACCATTTCTATTTAGAGAATTTAGTTTTTAACAGTTGGCACAAATTCAAATTATTGGATTTTCTTCAAACTTGTTTACAAAATTGTAATTCTTAGCTAATATTAAATGAAAACAAATAATTTTTATACCTTACGTTCGACATTTCGTCACATTGTAAACGTAATTTCAAAATTATAAGACAGTAATCACCAAAGTTGGGATAAAATTAAATTATCTAAATCAAGTCACTTGAAATTGTGTATTTTTGTCTTTATTTAAAAAAAATGGCAGTTTTTAGGCCACTTTTTACTCACTTGAAAAACGAAAGTTTCCTTGAATAGGGGGTTGGGTTGCCCCCTCCTGACCGTGGTCTTGCTATGTGCCAACTCCTGCCCTGTGCTACTGACCAAATTCAGTTTGACGTAAGTATCCGGGGCGCGATTGAGGGCCAAATTCCGGAAATGCGACCCTTTCACCACCTCTATGCTAAGTCGACCGGTGGTGGCGTTGTAGCACAGCCCTAGGAGTAGTTCTGGGACGCCCCCATGCTGCATGGAGTGTGTGGAGCCCGTGCTGTCCGACCGGGCCAGACTCGTGAGCTCCCCGGCGCAACCTGTCAACTAACCCCCCACAAATCACCCGTGTTACATACATTTTTTCTCTCTTACCGTCGTGTCCACTCTTGGCTCGAGGTTGAGCCAGAAGTTGTTCTCTAGTTCGAGGTTGATGTGAGTGAAACCGACGACGGCCTCTCCGATCAGGCGCTCGCGTCGCATCCGCTCACATGTGTATAACCGGAGGCGGATCCCCATTGAATTCACGTCCTCTGCAATTTGACGAGATTAATAGGGGGCGAGGGGTGAATGGGGGCTAAGCACCTGGATTGACACGGTGTAAGACGAAACTTTCCATATATTGCGGATTCTCGCCCGATCGAATCTTGGTTTTGTGTTTCTGCTTCTTGCTAGGCAATAAAATCAACCGCACCTGAAATGGGAAAAAACTTGGAGGAAGTTTGGCAGTTGGGGAAAGAACTGACGCGAGATTAATCCCACGATCGACAGATAAAGGCAATTCGAGGCTTAAAAGTTATCTCAGTTGGAAATAAATATGATTTAGACGTGAACAGTTCGTATGGCGGGGCCATGTCTAAATCATTCTGACAACAAAATTTGTTTTCGTCAATTTTAGGCAATTTGAAGGAGCTGAACATCAATCTTGAGAGATATTTACTTAACAGATTATTAATTTTTCAGACATTTTGAAATTAAAATTAAATTTTGAAATTAAAATCGGATCTGTCATTCCTACATACAAAATTTATTGTTTTCGTCGATTTTAGGCAATTTGAGAGCGCTGAACATGAATCTTAAATGATATTTACTTAAAACATTTTTAGTTTTCGAGATATTTTGAAATTTGTACAAAAAAAGTAGCAACAATTTTTTGAAGAAAACACTAAAATCTGCTCCAAATTGTAGTCACTTAATTGATACTCTAATCAATAAAAAAACATATATTATGTTCAAATGTTTAAAAAAACGAAAAAAAAATATTTATGATTTAGACGTAAAAAGTTCATATGGTGCGGCATGTCTGAGTCATTCCCACCTAAAAAATTTATTGTTTTCGTAATTTTAGGCAATTTGAAGGGCTGAACATGAATCTTGAGAGATGTTTACTTAAAAAATAAATTAATTTCCGAAATATTTTGAAATTTGAACAAAAAAATTAAAAACAATTTTTTGAAAAAAAAACACTAAATCAGCTTCAACTTTAAAAAACGTTAAAATCAATTTCAAATTGCTTACGCCAGTCAATGAAAACATATTATGCTCAGATGTTTAAAAAAAAGTAAAAGAAAGTTATGATTTAGACGTGAAAAGTTCTTATGTATAAGGCATTTCCACAACAAAATTTATTGTTTTCAACAATTTTATGCAATTTGAGGGAGCTAAACAGCAATCTTGAAAGATATTTACTTAAAAGATTATTATTTTTTCAAATATTTTGAAATTAAAAATTAAAAACAATTATTTGAAAAAGGAAACACTAAATCTGCTTCAACTTTAAAAAACGTTAAAATCAATTTCAAATTGCTGACGCCAGTCAGTGAAAACATATTATGCTCAGATGTTTAAAAAAAAGTAAAAGAAAGCTATGATTTAGACGTGAAAAGTTCTTATGTATAAGGCATTTCCACAACAAAATTTATTGTTTTCATTAATTTTATGCAATTTGAGAGAGCTAAGCAGCAATCTTGAAAGATATTTACTTAAAAGATTATTATTTTTTCAAATATTTTGAAATTTGGACAAAAAAAATTAACAACAATTTTTTGAAGAAAACACTAAAATCTGCTCCAAATTTCAGTCACTTAAAAAAATGTCAAAATCAGTTTCAAATTCCTAACACTAAACAATAAAAACCTATATTATGTTTAAAAAAAAAAGCAAAAATTTATGATTTACACGTAAAAAGTTAATATAGCGCGGCCATGTCTGAGTCATTCTCAGATACAAAATTTATTGTTTTCTTCGATTTTAGGTAATTTGAGGGTGCTTGAACAAAAAAGTAAACAATTTTTTGAAAAAAAACTAAAATCTTGCTCCAAACTGCAGTAATTTAAAAAAACGTTAAATTCAGTTTCAGATTGCTGATTCAAATCAATAAAAACATATTAAAAAAAATTAATTTATAATGTAAACGTGAAAAATTCATATGGCGCGGCCATGTTTAAGTCATTCTCACATAGAAAATTAGTTTTCGTCAATTTGAAGGGCTAAACATGAATTCTGAGAGATATTTACTTAAAAGATATTTGATTTCTCAAATATTTTGAATTAAAAACATTTTTTTAAAACACTAAAATCTGTTCCAATTTAAAAAAAAAACGTTATAATCAGTTTCAAATTGGTGACGCCAGTCAATAAAAACATTTATGTTCAGATGTTTAAAAAAAAATATTAAGTTATGATTTAGACGTGAAAAGTTCCCATATATAAGACATTTCCACAAAAAATTTTATTGTTTTCTTCGATTTTAGGCAATTTGAGGATGCTGAACATAAATCTTCAGAGATATTTACTTACAAAATATTTAGTTTTTGAGATATTTTGAAATTTGAACAAAAAACAATTTTTTGAAAAAAAATACTAAAACCTTGCCCCAAACTGCAGTCATTTAAAAAAAAACGTTAAAATCAGTTTCAGGTTGCTGACACGAATCAATAAAATCACTAAATGTTTAAAAAAAACATGATTTAGACGTGAAAAGTTCATATGGCGCGGCCATGTCTAAGTCATTCCCACATACAAAATTTATTGTTTTCGTCAATTTTAAGCAATCTTGAGAGATATTCACCTAAGAGATATTTAGTTTCCAAAATATTTTGAATTTGAACAAAAAAACTAAAAACAATTTTTGAAAAAAACACTCTAAAACCTTAAAAAAAGATGTTTGAAAAACGTTTTTTTTTTCAGTTTTCTAGCAGCTGAAGTTTGATTGGTGAAAATGCAAGCCTCGAGTTGCAAACCTTGTCCTACCTGCGTGTGTGTGGGTTGACCGCGATCCCGACTGGGTATATCCCTTGCCTGAAGGACGTGAACCGTCATTTTCCGCATGGGCGCGTCATACAAAAGGGCGATTTCCAGCTGACCACATTTGTTGACTAGCTGCGTTTCAGGTTCGGATCTGATACAACACATTAGGTCGTTTCTCTCATCCGTGTCGGTGTTCATTACGACAATACACTGAAACGTCAACTCAATTAATTAACTAATTACCCTTTTTTCTCCAATTACTCACGTCTCGGTTACTGTTGATGTCCGTCTGGACGATGGTTGATGAAGTTTCGATCTTGTGATAATCAATCCCTTGATTGTCTATTTTCGTTTCGCGCAAATCCGTCGAGAGCCTCCTGCAATAACAGAAGTTGCAAGAAACAACTACGCCTTGACTTTCTGGATTTTTACCCGTGATTATCGTTGATCTGGGCTGTGACCCTCGTCGCAGGCACCCCATGTTTCTCCCCCACGGAACTGGTCGTAGAGCTGCAACACGAACTGTTGCTACTGACACCAACCCTGCCCTTCTCCACCAGGGAAATGAGGTCGTGGACTTGCCGAGGGGGGTAATAGGGGCCCGTGGTACCGGACGCTAGCGTTGAACGGAATTTTGAACCCCCCATCTCGGACTCGGAACTCGAGTCGCCCCCATCGAACGAATATGCTTTGACTGGAAATCGAACAAATCAATTCCTGGCGAGTTACTATGCCATGCTACACATATAAACAGGTGGTATCGATCAGACTTGAGACCCTCAAGGCTGCGACACTGGAATTATTCATCAGGTGACTGGAATAGTTGTAATTTCGGTTCGATTATTTTGCCTATGTCTCACTCATAGCCCCTCCATAGAAACTTGTCACGGCAAAAAATAATAAGAGTGACTCCTGGGCTTTGCGTGCTCATTTTTCTAAGCAGAAATCCCTCTTTTAGGTAGATTAAATTTCAGTATTACCTAACTTGTGCTTGAGGGGGGCCGGAGTGAAAGAAGTTGCAGGCACTGGAGGTGAGGGGACGGGGCGCGAGGACACAGGAGGGCAAGCCTCGTCGCAGCATCCCATGCCTCCGACGGAGCCCCACCACCATCGTTTGTTCTTGATGTAGAGGAGGAATACGAGGAAGAGGGCCCCCAAGCCGGCGATGGCGCCCAATACGGTGCCCCCATCCGTCCCTGGAAATTTTCCGAAATTAAATTTCCTGCCCACTGCACCAATTCAAAACTGGAAACTTCATTTATTAGAATTGATTAGACTCCGTTTTTTAGTTGTTTGTTTAGCAGAGGCTGATTTAATGGTCACTAACCCGACTTCGACGCCAGAAAGTTTGTCTAGTCTTTGTAAATTTCGCCATGTCCTAGTTTGGATAGGTCCTTGACTCTTTTACAAACACTTGACTTGTGATTTATTCGAATTCATTTTTGCTACCGAAAACTGATTACTTAATTTGGTAATTTACGATGCGATCGTTTTGTTGTTGTGTTCTGTGTCGTTTCGGCGCCTGTAATTCCACACTGAGGGATAAAAAGAAGTCATTTGGGTCGTGTTCCTCGTATTTTTTATTATTAAAGCAAATGCGGGTGATAAAGAGGGGATTAAGGGTCATGTAACCTTTTTCGAAATTGAAGAAGCTCATTGTCAACCTTGGGAAATTATTAATTTTTCAGGTATTTTAAAATTTGTACAAAAAAAATTAACAATAATTTTTTGAAGAAACTCTAAAATCTGCTCCAAACTGCAGTCACTTAAAAAATGTTATAATCAGTGTCAAATTACTAACACCAATCAATAAAAACAAATCTTATACGTAAAAAAGGAAAAAAATTAATTTATCATTTAGACGTGAAAAGTTCATATGGCGCGGCCATGTCTGAGTCATTTCCACATACAAAATGTATTGTTTTCGTCAATTTTAAACAATTTGAAGGACTGAACATGAATTTTGAGACATTTATTTAAGAAAAATTTAATTTCTGAAATATTTTGAAATTTGAGCAAAAAAAATAAAAACAATTACCGAAAACTGATTACTTAATTTGCTAATAATTTACGATACGACCTTTTTGTTGTGTTCTTTGTCGTTCCGGCGCCTGTAATTCCACACTGAGGGATAAAAAGAGGTCATTTGCGTCGTCTTCTTTGTATTTTTTTATTTTTAAAGTAAATGCGGAGGTAAAGAGGGGATTAAGAGTCATGTAACCCTTTTCGAATTTAAAGAAGCTCAATATCAACCTTGGGAAATTATTAATTTTTCAGATATTTAAAATTTGTACAAAAAAAATTAACAATAATTTTTTGAAGAAATTCTAAAATCTGCTCCAAACACTTAAATAATGTTAAAATCAGTGTCAAATTACTAACACCAATCAATACAAACAAATGTTATGTGTGAAAAAAAGAAAAGAAATAAATTTATCATTTAGACGTGAAAAGTTCATACGGCGCGGAAATGTCTGAGTCATTTCCACATACAAAATTTATTGTTTTCGGCAATTTTAGACAATTTTAGGGTACTGAACTTGAATCTTGAGTGATATCTACTTTAAGTATTTAATTTTCGAGATATTTTAAAATTTGTACAAAAAAGTTAACATTTTTTTGATAAAAACCCTAAAAGCTGCTCCAAATTGCAGTCACTTAAAAAAACGTTAAAATTTGTTTCGGACTGCTGACCAATCAATAAAAACAAATATTATGTTCAAATGCTTAAAAAAAAATTCAAAAAATTTAATTTAGGCGTGAAAAATTTATATGGCGCGGCCATGTCTGAGTCATTCCCACATGTAAAATTTATTGTTTTCGTCAATTTTAAGCAATTTGAAGGACTAAACATGAATTTTGAAAAATATTTATTTAAGAAAAATGTAATTTCTGAAATATTTTGAAATTTGAACAAAAAAAAATAAAAACAATTACCGAAAACTGATTAGTTAATTTGCTAATAATTTACAATACGATCGTTTTGTTGTTGTGTGGTTTGTCGTTCCGGCGCCTGTAATACAACACTGAGAGATAAAAAAGGTCATTTGCGTCGTCTTCTTTGTATTTTTTTGTTATTAAAGTAAATGCGGGGCTGAAGAGGGGATTAAGGGTCATGTAACCCTTTTCGAGATCAGGTTTTTATTGGTTTTATTATTTAACAAGTGACACAGGAAAACGTAAAGAAATAAAAATTAGAAAAGTTCAAAGACTGGAGATCATTATAAAAGTTTCTTTGTGATGGGATCAAAAGTATCAAGTTTTCCCAATCAAAACGTAAAAAAATGATGGTTATATGGTATGTGGAGATAACGAAAACAGTTTTTTAACAGTTAATACTTGTCGCTTTCTTCTTTTTGGTGCCTGGGCTGTTTTTCAGTCATCGAAATTTCGTAATTTTCAGTTCTTTTAATAACTCAACTTTTTACACTGAATTAGCTTTACAGTTCTAGGATTTGATATTTTTATGAAAAATTTTGCGTAGATTAAAAAATGACTATCAAAAGTAACTGATAAATTTTTATTGATACAAACAGATATCGTTATCACTGTTTGATAACATTTAATTTGGGGAAAATATTTATGTAAAAGTATTTTTATTTCTGACATGGTGGCAAGAGTGTTTCTTACTGCAATCCTTGTAAGTACAAAACTTATTTTTGTAGCAAAAGCAAAAATTTAGATCAAATGTATTTCGATACTAACAACATATCAGAAATGACAATGTTTAATGTGACTTCGAATTTAAGAAAATTAGATTTGAGCAACAACAAAATTCACAAAATCGAAAAAAATTTTCTTAGAGGCATGAACAAATTGGAGATCTTAAGTCTAGCAGAAAATAATTTATCAGTACTAAAAAAAACACATTTTTGAAACGTTGCCTAACCTTAGAATTTTAGATTTACATCAAAACACCATTAAGAGAATAAAAAAAGACGCTTTCAAAGGTCTGAAAAAATTAAAATATTTGTATCTGAATGGAAATAAATTATCGAAATTTGAAGATGGCACATTCGAAACGTTGTCCGATCTGGAATATTTAGATTTAGATCGAAACGCAATAAATAGAATAGAAAAAAATTCTTTCAAGGGTATGATTAAACTACAAACACTCAAGTTAAGTGGAAATAAATTCTCGAGACTTGATGGCGGTATATTCCAAACATTGTTTAGTTTAAAAAGGTTGTATTTGAGTAACAATCAAACTTTCATTATCAAATATCGTTTTATGGACAGTTAACAAAATTATACTCACTAATATTAAGTCATAATATCTCAAAAACGCGTTTCAAAATTAAAACTAATTGGAAAGATCATATTGATGAATTGATCATAATCAGGGAATCACTTGATATTTTAATGATAATGAAAGGTTTAGTCAAAAGAAGGAACTTCTTGTGATGTTAAGAATGTTCAAGAAATCCCGTGTATAGACAAAAATAATTTAAAGATTTCAAAAATTTTAGAAAAAAAGTTCGATGAAAAATTCAATAAACTTTTTAAATATAGATTAATACAACCAAAAAAAACTAAAAACTAAATACTTATTGTAATAGGTACTTGTATATGTCACTTGTTATTTCAACTTTCTTAATTTATCTCATTTTAAGTTTTATAAGAAATAAACTTTGTATTGTATTTTTCTGTACTCATTTTTCATATAAAAATTTAAGCTTCGCTACTGTTAGTTTTTAATGTTTCTAGTTAGACTGAAATTTTTATAGTTTTATTGTATCACAATAAAACACAAAATGTCTTACCTCGAAATTCACTGTTTATTTTTTGTATAACATAAGTAAGAATTTTTGTATTTTTTATTAAATAAAACATTCTGGTTTGGCTTGATTTTTTCAATTCTCCCTCTTTATTTATTATTTTTGTTGTGCGTTTCAAAGAAATCGATTTTTTGTGTTTTAGTTTTGTGTAAAGAAGCAAAAATGAGTATTTGCAAATAATAACGAAAGAATTGAAAACCATTCATTTTCTTAATTAAATGATAATGAAAGATTATCTCGAAAAAGGAACGATAAATGTTGAAAATGTTCAAGGTATCAAAAAAATTCACACACAAATTCACAAAATTTCCAGAAAAAAAATACGAATTCAATAAACTTTTCAATTATTTAGATCTATAGAACGACAAAATAACTAAAACAAAAATACTTTTTTATGAAAAAAAAACCGTAGGCATAGGTGTAAAAGACTAATAACTGTGCCAAACATTCATATTTTTAACATTTTCTGTTCTGCCGTTTAATATACAAGCTTTTTTTGCTTGTATTTTGATACATAAAATAAGAAATAATGTTCTAAATAGCAAACAGTAAAAAATTATTGACACCCTGTTTATTTGTATAAAGTTTGGTGTTGTATTTTTCGTGAAATAAAATATTTTGCTTTGTGTTTTCTTCCCCTTCTTTCCTCTTTATTGTTTTTATTGTGCGTTTCAAAGAAAATACAAGATTAAGGGTGGGTTAATAAAGACAAATTAAAAATCCGTTGTTAAAAGTTAATGCGCAATCAGTTATCTGACGTTTAATTCTATGTGTTTTAATTTTTTATTTTAGTTTTGATTTTTTCTTCCTTTATAATATCCATCTATCTACAGGGTGTTAAAAAAAGATTGCAAAATATTTAAAGTTTTAATAGTATGGACCAAAATAAACAAAAAAGTCTTAATAAACATAGGCCCGCAAAGTAACGGTTTCGGATAAATCGAATATAATTTTTTTTATAATTTTTACTAGAAGCTGTTTCGATATCTCCGAAACCATTACCTTGCGGACCCATGTTTAATAAGATTTTTTTTTGTTTATTTTGATCCATACTATTACCTCCTTAAAAATTACAATCTTTTTTTAACACCCTATATATTTGAGTTGGAATCAAAGTCGTAGTAAACAAGTTAGTTTCCAAATTAAACGAGAGTAACTAATTAAAACAGTAAATGTTTTCTACTCCTATTTCTTTTAGTGTTTTGTTGGGTCGATTTTTGTTTGTTTATTTTTGTAGTTTGGATGACTAATTTAAAAAAATCTCTTTATTCAAACTTTTATTAAATATTTCCTAACATTCATTTTTATCAAAGTTTTTGATAAAGATAAGTGCACACGAAAACAAATAATAATTCCCTCTTCCCGTTGCGCGTCCCTGATAATTTTAGATCTGCGTAGTAAACAAATATCTCCATTCA